AAAGAAGGAGTAAAGAAAAGACCTCATATATCACAATGTATTCATTCAAAAGGACATTTGAAGTAGTATTACTAAGTGGAAATGTCACGTCCTCGTCCTAGATCACGCAAGGTAGGCGAGAGATCGGCCACCAAGGGCTTAACCAACAAACTCATGTGCATATTAAATGCAAAATATAATGGAAGATAAATAATAAAGTGATCTATTGCACATACGTTATGAATACCAAAGGAATAAACTAAATATTGTCCAACACATTAGTAAACCACAAAGTAATTCCATGTTCAAACTTAAGGTTTACAACTCCAAATTTAGATAACATCATTTCCAAAATAATTAAATACAGTGTGTCATACCCACAATTGACCCTTATCTAAGAGGACCTACTTAAGACAAATCATCAAGCCGTCTAAGCCCTTGTCTGACTCAGGATCTAATCCTTCCCTTAATTCTCACTTAAAAAATGTTAAATGTTTTTATGAGCACGACGGTCCGTGGGTAACAACCACTTCTAATGAGGTGTGAAAATAAGTCTCATAGTTTATATATAAGAAATAAACTTTGATACATACATAAGTACAACAAATTATATTCCAGCCATTCTCACATAATCATTTAGATAAAATTAATTTCATGCTCGCAAATGACTTTATAAATGAAAAAACATTTATAACCCAAAATATCTACTCATTTCCACAAATAACTTTATAAATGAAAAGACATTTGTAACCCAAACACTCACTCATTTCTACAAATAACTTTATAAATGAAAGACATTTATAACCCAAAATACTTATACCCACATTCAGTTCCAAATACATTTGTCATCTCATGTTTATTACCACTAGTCTGGTAATTACCCATGTCTTTATCACTACTAGCTTGATTACTGGCCCTTTTTTTTGCCATCATTAACTTGATGATCGGCCCCTATATACACATCTCTATACTAGTTACACCGATATCTCTTCAATCTCATTACCATTTAAACCATGTAACCCAATCTCCGTCTCATAAAACATGATTTTAACAAACACTTAAATTGTCATTTTAGTCCAACGTGCATAAAATTTCCCTTTCATCACCAAAACACATTTAAGCAATGACATAAAATAATCTCACACATTTTCAAAATTCACCTGCATAATAATTCACAATTGCAAAATATTTAATTGCAACCCCAAATATCAACATATATATATCATACGTATAAAATATGCACACACATGTATAGAAAATCTTCTCAAAAGAAGTACTAAATTACTCACCTTGGTTCTCGAATTCTAATTCAAAACCCTCTTTCTCAATCTCAATGTAATCACCACTTAATCCAAAATGACGTGTAACAATTAATCCTATTACTAATTTCATAACTTTGCAATTCTATATTTAATTTTTGTACTTTCTACCTATTGATATATTTTTTACATAGAAATAACATTTTAATATGAGATAATAGGGTATGGAAGTAACTTGGAAAATTTAGAAAAAGTTTCCAAAATTTAGGGTTAAATCATAATTTTTAAAATTTTTAGGGTCAAAGTATAATTTTTTCGAGGCTGCCATAAATTTTTTAGAATTCTATTATTTCAACTTACCAAGTAAAAATGTGGTTAAAATTTAAATTTAAAAAATATACTGATCAAAATAAAGTTCTTTGAAACCAAAATCGAGGTTTCTATAATTTTTGAATTTGGTCTTCTTCGACCTATGATTAATTCTAATTTCAAGCTTTTGCAACTTTAACAAGTTCAATCTCTTTCTCCCACCCCCGTCCCCTCCCCTCTCCTCTCCTTCCTTTTTTCTTTTTCAACTTATTGATTAAACAACTACAAATCTAAATTCAATCTATTAATTTCAATAATTAAAAATAAGTATCACAAGACCCATTACATTATAATAAATCTAGCACCATGTGATGGAATAAACTACAAAACCCATACCTTTAATGGATCCAACCCTCTTGTCTTTTTCCTCCTCATTCCTTCTCTCTCTCTCTCTAAGCGGCAGAATTCTTACTCTCTAAAGGTGTAGAAAATTTAGTATTTCTATATGAGTGGACATCTAAGGCAACATGTGGGACTTTCCTTTATCACACTTTAGTCCCCTTTAACTATTATTATATTATTTTATAATTACTCTTGGTACCCAATGCACTAAATAATAATAAAATAATTAATTAATTTTTTTTTGTACAGGTTATTACAGGAAAAGCTAGTCGATTTTGCTTAGCATAATGACAGATTTTACAATGATCAAAAGTAGAACAAGAGATTTCAGAGTTTTGTCTATGCAATAAATCTAGTCTTGGTTTAGACAAGTGCCCTAATCTATAATGCCATAGATTTATTTTTTTTTGATCAAATAATGCCATAGATTTGAAAGTATAGTTTCTTGAGAATGAATAGAAAAAACAAAAGAAGATGACTGTGTAATTGATTTGTGCAGGAAAAAGTACAACCCATGCCTCGCTTCACCCATCCCATTCGTCTTCCATGTGGATAGGTCCTGAACAAAACAATGCCCAAGTAAAAATAAGAAACAACAAGGAATTTGGTGAATAAGTCTACTGGTAGAAAGAAGATTAAAATTGAAAGAAAGAACACATAAAATACCCTTTTAAGTGGATTATTTTTGAAAATTTTACTGTGCCAATATGAGTTACTACCACAATACTTCCATTGGGTAGCTTAACTGAAGTATGAAGAACAAATGTAATAGAGTCAAGATAGTCTACTAAACATATAATATGATCAGTAGCACCAATATCAATCACCGAAGGAATATTCTTATGACTTGCGAAAATTTTAGGTGAGTGATGTGAGGGAAAAACTGAGTGATCAGTTGAAGATAAACATATGAAGAATTGAAATTGTTATATGTCATATTCATTAGAGAATTATGAGAACTATGTATCTGATTCACAGCTGGTTGTCCTCTTGTGTTGGACTGAATCTTGAGAAGAGATAATAGCTACTGAACCTGATCTTGTGTGATTCTCAGTTGTGAGCATGTATTTGTTTTATCATCTGGTACTGAATTTACTGAACTTTCTCCATGAATCTATGCAACCATTGGAGAATTTGATTTTCTTTTTGTAAATTTGTATACAGGAGGATAACCATGCAACTTGTAACATTTATAAATAGTGTGCCATGTTATTCCACAGCGAGCACATATCGGCTTTGCTTTATTTGAATTCTGTCTTCCATAACTTTGCTGCTTAGTTTGCTGAGTTGATACATTTGATCGACTAAAAAGAGCAGCAGAGTCAATGTTTGGGATCACAAAAGCTGTGATTTCCTATTGCCTTTCCTCTTGAAGGATTAGAGCTTGGTGATAGGTGGAAGATGACCTTGCAATACTACGAATGTGATTATATGAATCATTAAATCCCATTAAGAACTGAATTATATAATCTTACTGTTGACACTCGACCAATTTCTGCTTGCTTGAGAAAACATTTCTTTCAACTCATTCCAAATCTCCTTAGCAGAATTTATATACAATACACTTTTGGCAATATCCTTCGATAAGGTGTTCAAGATCAAGAGATTACCACATTATTGCTGCGAATCCATTGATGTAGAATGGATCTTTATGATCAGTAGGCTGTGGAGTTGTTCCATCGATGAAGATTAAATTAAAAAAATACCAACTACAGGTGGAATACCTCAGGACCATTGGTAAAATGAAAATTATAAAGGGTAAGGGTATTTGGGTTTATTTGAATACCCACTTTGTAAACCCCCGAGGTGTGTTTGGTTAATGAGATAAGGTGGGTCAACACCAATAAGGAAAGGTTAACGCTGCGGTGGAACTTATAAATTTTTTGTTTGAGAAGGCAAAAGTGAGGTAGGATATGAATTCATTGTCCAATCTCGATAAATTGGTTAAAATTAACCCACCTCCCCATGAGTTTAAATCCCGACCGACTAGACAAGGCAGGGTAATTACTTGTTTACCCCTCTCTTATTTCTCGATAACGTTCTTTCTCTTTTTTTACTCTCGTTTCAAGGTTCGATTGAGGTGTAGGAGGAGTGGCATCTGGAAGTTTCAAAAAGGGCAATGTTTAAGAGATTTTGGCCAAAAAGAAAAAGGTTCCAAGATAATTTCATCCATTTTTTATTCAAATATAAGATACGATTGAATTGGTTAAGGAGTGTAATAGTCAAAATACATCATACTATTATTTTAAATTACCTTTGATAGTGGGCCTCATGGACATATAAAATTAGTTTACCTAACATTGGCATTGATACATATATATATTATAATTATTAATAACTATGTGTCCTTTAAATAATTATTTTACCTTTTAATCAATCTAATTTATACCTATGTTAAAAAGTACAATAGTCTTTTGAATCTTTTGATCTTAAACCATCTTTTCAAACTCATCCCTCTTTTCTTCAATCATCTCCCAGAGTTATTGTAAAACACAAAAATAGTGAAAATTAGTTAATCAAAATAAAAAATTATACTCCAATAGAATATGTTCAGATACTCTAAAATAGATTTTTGCTACAGTGATACTCTACAACAATATGTAAAATTTGTTTATAATATTTTCTCTCACTTCCTTTTCTTTCTTTCATTCTTTCTTTTTCTCCTTTTCACTATTTTAAAAAAAATATATAATACAAAATGAATAAAAAATAATATTTAAAAAAAATAGTTAAAAATATAAAAAATTGTTAAATTGTGTATTAAAAAAATAAATATTAAAAATAAAAAATATTATTTTTTAAATAATTAAAATAGATTTTATTGTCAGAGATGCTCTTCGGTTTGACAAAACTTAAGATTATAAGTTATAAGTTTACTATCGGAGCCAATTACAAGTCGAGTTTGGGAACCAAGATTTTTTTTTAACCCAATCAAAGAGTTTGGCTCCTTTGACTAATTTCTCCAAACCCTCGTGGACACCAATACCCTAAACCCACAAAACAAACAGCCCTCAGAGCTTCATGAGAATATCGAGTTGGGTTCTGGAAACAATGCTGTTGAGGAATTGAAAGGTGGCGATTCAAGAGGCATCGTGGTTCTGAGCGAAAAAGAGAACTATTCCAAGAAGTACGAAGTGGGTTCTGTTGATGACGTCGATATGGAGCAAAAAACTCTTGGCTTGAAGAAAGATTTGAATAAATACGAACTGGGTTTTTCTGGGTTTCAAGAAACGATTTCGAATTCAAGAATTTCTGGGGACTTCACAGCCATTGAGGAGAAGCAGTGTGTGAAGGAAGTCTCAATGGACGCTTTTGATGGAGATTGGAGCAAATGTTTGGTCGAGTCTGAAAGTTTCTTGAGAAACAAAGAGAAGCTGTTGTTGGGTGGAGCTGAAGGAGAATTGGGCTCCGGTGCTGAGACCCATGTTGTGAAATTTAATGATACGGCGACTTCAATAGAAATCTTGAGTGATAGCAATGCCAAGAACGAAGGAGCCTTTGAACATTCTTCACAGATTGTTGAAAAAATGGGAGTTTTAGAGAATAAAGAGACGGTTGAGAAGAAAAATGATGGTGGGTCTTCTAGATGTGCATTGAAGATGATTGAAGTGGTTGATGATACAGCCGTGATCGAGATTGGTTTGGTTTCTGAAGTTGGGAATGGTTGTGAGAAGGAAATTGGGTTTCTTGGTTTTGATAAGAATTTAGAGAGGAATTTTAATAGGAAGAATATGAAGCAAGAAATGGATGGAAATATGAAGCAAGAAACGGATGGAAAGAAGGTAAAAAGGCTGCGAAGAAGGGGAAAAGGAGAGAAGAAGGGTTTGGGAATGAATGGGACTGGCGGTGATATGAATTTGATCCACATGGCTGAAGCTCAATATGTATATGAAAAGAAAGGTGATGAGGCTAAGACAGTGTACTCAAGGAGGGAGATGCAGGCTATGAGGTATGTGGATATGGAAGAACAGAGGAAGAAGTGGATTGAGGTGTACTGTGGGCTTGGGCCTGCTGTGGCAAGGGAGTATGATGGTTTGGTTGAATGTCAGCAGCAACACAGAAAGAAGATGGTGCCCCCAGCCATTCTCAGTATGTGTTCTTTTTCCTATTTTGATGTTCATTTTATGTTTTTATTTGATATTCTTCTATTGAAAATTGAATATAGCGTCATAAACTCTGTGGTATATATGCAAGTTCTTTTAATTTCAAACATTTATCTTAGTTATTTGGAATTTCTGTCAGTTATCATACTATCTTTATTACATTGACTGACAAATTATGACAGATATATGGCTCAGTGTTGTTCTTCTGGGGCATTCTTTTATAAAAATGATTTTTCAGAGTATCATAGGCACTGATCAAAATATCACATTCTAAACCCATAATCTCACTACTGGGATTTGAGGGTGAATGAAGATTCTACTTGAATTTATTGACTGAGAAGGTAGAATAGTGCAATTGACGTTTTTCTGTATGCCTGGGATTTGGAATTGCTTGTGGCTCCTAGTTTGAATTGTTTAGGTTTCTTATCTCCTTTTCCTTTTTACCTTTTTCTTTATTGGAAGCTATCTTATTCCACATATCTGGTATGGTTTCATCCTCAGTCTTACGCCTGTTCGACATCAGCTAAGTCTGTTTGAATTTCTTTGATGTTTATTTTTAGAAATTTCAAGATTCGAAAGAGGAAAAAGGACATGTTTGGTTTTTTTTGACCCCCTCTCATTGAATTTGCAGTCCTATATTTTTTTGTAACATAAGAGTTTCTGTGGTACTGTTTAAGTTTTTTTTTTTTTAATTTATTGCTTTTGAACGCATGCTGATGTTTTACTTGTAGTTCTGCATCTCTGGTTGAGGTGACAATCTATTTTAGGATAAGTAATATATTCTTCTTTAAAGGCGATTAAAAAACTGTTTCCAGCTTCATGCTTATTTGAGTAAGAATGAAATCGAATGTATTGTTTTGTTTTTAAGGGTCAAGCTCATTCTGTTTATTCCCAAGCCTCAGGCAAGTTGTTACCATGAGGGGGGAACTTAAAATCTTTTCCAAGATGACTGATTTTCATGGAGTTTTGAGCAGATAGAATTAATTGCTTGATGAAGTACTCGGTTACACTCACCTGCACAGACCTGTTTACACAGCAGAGTTTTCTGCATGCCATGTTCATGTTTTTGTTTGTCACATCTATACCGTTTTAATAAGTTTGGATTTGGCATCAAAAGATAAGTGAGTGTGATAGTCTCATAGAGAGATGTAAGCTCCACCATTTAAGCTAGAGCATTTTTTTTTAATAATTCTGTCTTTGCATAAACTTTTTTTTCCTTTGATAAAAGTATTACTAAAGGCACCAAGGGGTGCAACTGCAACCCGTGTACATAAAAAAAATACACAGACAAAAAAACAACAGAGACAAAAGAAAATGTATAAGTTACAAGAGGAGCTAAAGACACCCAACCATCACATACATTTATCCCCGACAAGCTCCCAAAAAGTCGACGAAACCATCCAAAAAAATTCCTTCCTGAAAACCAGATATACAAGAGTATCATAAAGTTTTTTTAGAAGTCTTTGATAGATAATGATAAGGCAGTCCATGATGGATGTCACTTCATGGCAATGCCACTATTTCTACAACCAGAAATAGTGGCATTGCCATCTATACCTTTATTCTCTGAACTCCCCAGCAATCTAACAGACTCCTCTGCTCCTTTACACATGCAGCAATTTGGACTATTTTCCTCCTTTGCCTCAGGTTTTGAATAGTAAGAATACTATACAAGAAATGCCCAAAAAAAAAATTAAAACAAAAAAGCCTCAACCTTGGACGGACTTTGCATTTCCAAATGGCATTTGAAGGAAAGGAGGAGTTAGAGCCCTCCCTACAAACGCTCTGGATTATCCTTGAAATCAACATTGCAAGATGGCTCCAAATTCCTTGATTTCCTCATCCCAGGGTCATCCTGAACCGAAGCACATCCAGGACAAACATAACTTCTTCCAACTCCCAGCTGAAAAATATGTCTATAGAATCGATGCTTCCACACCACATCCTGGTCAGCTGCACTAACATAATCAGCTACCATCACATTTTTGTTGACAGCTATTGTGAATAGAGATAATAACCTATCTTGGAGGATCTCTAACACACAACAGATCATGCAAAAATCCCACTCTATATAACAAACCTACCACAAATCCAACCTACTTAGAGAATTCATCCAACCTATTCCTACTGTTTTTTCCACAACTCAACCACAAAAAGCGCCTCAAAGGTGATAGATTACCACCCCTGCCATTTGCTCATTTACTAATCAATAACTGGTGTCTATCACTCCTTGCCTTCTCCACCCCAAGCCTCCATGACTTTTCACCTGAAGAGCTTGACTAAAGCACTGCATCTTCCTGAGATCCAACCCTCTCTGTATGAGGGGAGAGCATGCCACATTCCAATCAATCAAATGGCATTTAGTGAATTTAAATGCCTCCCTATATAGCATCTCGTCTATGCTTGTCTAACTTCTTCTCAATTGATGCTGTCACTGGGAACAGTGACATAATATAAGTTGGGAGGTTAGAAAAAGCGGTTTTAACTGAAGTGAGCATTCCCCACTTGGAAAGAGACTGTATTACTGCACTTCAAACCTCTAGACAAATCTAACCATCATCTAATCTTAAACTGACGTTGCTCTATAGGGGAGCGAAGAGGAAGGCCCAGTTAGCTAGTAGGTAATTTGTGGAAGGAGTCGATGCTCTCCATATATGCAACTGGAATAAGTTCACTACTCCAAAAATTAACCCGTGACCTGGTGACAACTTCAAAACAAGGAAATAAACTTAGACAAAGCTACTGCATGTCCCCCACTTCTTCAAAAATTTTAGTGTCACCAGCAAAGAGCAAATGGATCACAACAATTTGTTTTTACCCGACCCTGCCGACATCATAGCCACTAAATATGTGTCTCTTGATTGCTTTAGAATATCATTCTACTAGCGTCTCTGTCACAAGGATAAAATGGAATTAAAAAAGTGGGTTCCTGAGACCTCCAAAGCTCCCAAAGAAACACTCCATGGTTCTGTTAGTAATTATGAAAAATCGTACAATAGAGATACATGAATGAGTCCACCACCTACGCAGGAGACAAACCGCCCCATACTGTTCTTAAAGTAGAGGACAAATCCTAGATGCATTTGGTCATATGTCTCTTCAATGTTCAATTTTCAAATTTGTCCAGCAATATTTCTCTTAAGCCTGGCGTCAATAATCCATTAGTGACTTACATTCCTCAAATTACCTAAAGTAAACCACCGGTAAAAAGGAGCAAAAGAAAAGGAAAAATGGTTTGATTGGTTACCTTTTGGGCAGTAGCGCTGCCTCCTTGGGTTGTTGGGGGGGGGGGTGTTGAGTTGTGTTCTTTCTTTTCCAAACATATGATCTTTGATTTCCTAGTTCTTCTTTGTTTGGCTTGTTTTTGATTGGGTATCTGGTTTTCCCTTTCTCCCGTAGTTTGGAATATTTAAGTTATTCTTATAGTAGATTTCATCAAGATCTTGGTCACACCTGATAACTTAAGAATCTGACTTGATTTTCCTCCTTTTATGTTTACTATTCCTTATTTCTTATCCCATTTTCTTCTTATTTTTTTGGGGGTTCAATTTTGGCTATTGTTATAGTTTGTATAAGCTTTCTCAAATTCTTGTTATTCTAGAAAGAAGGATCAGTAATCAAGATTTTTTCCCCGCCTTGGTTTAATGGTGAAATTGGCAGGTTGGTTTGGGGGAGGCCTTAAATTCTGAGGTTATATAATTTTTCAATGCTTCTATTGACCTTTTCTTCTCTTTTGGATGTCTGGTTCTGATAGTGTCAATTTGATGGGTTCAATTTCTCTGTGCACAGGTGCAGTGGCTGCAAAGGCAAGGGAGAACCATCTGAAAACTCTTTGTGCATTGAAGAATGGCCAAGGAATCGCAAAAGACGTTGTTGTATCATAGCCCCCAAAAATTCCCTTGATTGGTTTACTTAGGGCTTCATAGTTTAGTGCTTGTATAGAATCCCTGTGCTGTGTGTGCATATACTTGCTGGCAACTACTTTAGATGCTGCCTTGAGAAGTTCTGTGCTCAATCATTCTGTTGTATATACATTGAAATTGTGAATGAAAAGCTGGTAGATGCATTCAATTGTCAGTGAGAAGTAGTCAACGTTGGAATGTTTTGATGAGATCTAAAATTATAGCTAGTGCTTGCATAAGATGAGGTGCTATTACTTTTGAATCTCACTTTGCGTGGGCTTCGCAGATGATGTATATCATAATTATTTAACACTTTCCCTTGCACTAATATTTTAGAGCTTTAAAAGTGGTGGAACTTTTGTGACTAAATATGTTACTTCTTTCAGATGACAAGTATTCTCAAAAGGTGGGTAATGAAATTGAGATCATAAACCCCTTGGATCCTGCTTGTAGTCTCAGCACTAGTGACATAGCCAAAAGCAAAATCATTGAGGGAGAATGCTGCGAAGATGATGAAAGTGATGAAGATTATATTAGCATTCTGAGACCTGCCTTCTTGGTTGATGGGGAACCTGATTTTGATTCTGGGCCTCCAGAAGATGGATTAGAGTATCTCAGGCGTGTAAGGTAGCATTCTCTTCCTCGTTCCTGTGTTTTCTCAACCTTTATTTTCTTGTTCCTTCAACTTAAGGACTTCTTTTTTCTTGTTTACATGCTCTTACTTGTTTTTGGGGCTCCTCAACAGTTATTTATTGTTCCTGATAATTGAGGATTTCTTTTTCCTGTTTCATGCTTTTGGTGTGTCCTGGCAGAACTTAGAGTTCTAAATCTTGTTTTCCTTGTTTGCTCAATTTCATTGAATCTAGATATTTGTAGTGGTGTGGTATGAATATCAAATTTTAGTCTGATAAGTGGTATGGTTATGTATTTTTTAACACAAATGCTTATTCCGTTTGCAAGTGAGTGGGTTTTGTTATGATAAATTGAAGTGCCAATTCAATTGTATATTCACTCCTACATGTAGGATGCATAAATTTGAAGAAGATATGCAGAGCAAAACAAACAAATTTTACATTTAGGGCTCTCTTGTCATGAATAATGACTTTGGTATGCCAATTACTTCTAAACTTTTTCAACTTCTTATGTTTATTTTTTTCTTTTGTGTAAATTACACTGACATCTCTTGAAGAATACCTCAAATACCGTGGCACCTCCTTGGTTTTATGAAAATACAATAACACTCCATATTTGTTTCTTTTGTAATAGCTCACGAGACACCTCCTTGGTTTTATGAGAATTCAATAAGTCCCCCTTTTTGTTTCTTTTCTAGTAACACAAGTAACGGAAAGTGCACTTTTACCTATTCATCCTTAAGAAAAACTAATTTTTGTTTATTTATCCTTGATTTGTATTTGTGTATAAATACATATGCATACACCAGGTCATCAACCTCCCTCCTCCTCCTCCTCCTCCTCCTCTCTCTCTCTCTCTCTCTCTCTGGTGCACATTTTATCTGTAACTATGCTTCATATTCATGTCACCAAACCCCACGATACCTCCACGCACAAGCACTATCTACCACCCCCTCAAAATCTTGAACTAACTATCACAATACATCTTTGATCACAATTCCCTTTTTTGGTTGCATCCCAATTTCATCGATTTTTAGTTAAACCAAAGAAACTGTTTGCGCTTCTGCACTTGTGAGCTTGAGCTTTCCATTAAATCACATATTTCTCATATGTTCTTTTGTTTCTGGTGGGTGTGTCGGTGTCAAAAGGTTCAAAGTATCGGCCCAGTTGGATACAACTTGACCGAGTTGTATCCGCCTTGGCAAACATCGATCCGATAACGATACACGATACAAGACTATCACGAGTCTACCATGAATTGGTTTTGACTCGGGCCTATTCGATCCAACTTAGATAAATTCAAACAAACTCGGTCTAACCCGGTCGATTCACTTTTGAATCAAACTAATATGCACAGAATCGTCCAAGGAACAAAGAAAATGTAAAAAAAAAAGGCAAAAAAAATAAGAAATTAAACTCTAAATCAAACCCCTTGTACCATAATAAAAACAAAACAAGGAAGTTATAACAAAATTAAACACAAACCTGAAAAATTATGGTAAATCTCCCTAATCAGAGACCCTTTCCTACTATTTGTTCTTACTTTCTTTCTTCTTCGCAGTAGCAGAGGACCCAACATCATCGATCAACATCACAGATCAATTGCAGAAACCCTAGGCTGCTCGACAATCGGATTACTTGAGTAACAGAAGACCCAGCCTTCACAATGAGTCTCGAGTAGCAGAGACTCATTGTCTCTGCGCGCGCTCTCTCTCTCTCTCATATTTTCTGTTTGTCGAACTGTCGAAGTCTGAGAGTTGAAGAGAGAGGCTTTGGGTCAAATACGTGAAGCTTTGGTCTTATGAGACCCAAAACTTTATTCCCACCCCCTTTCTTTTTGTTTTTTCGGTCTTGGCCCTATTTTTTTAATTATATAATTTTTAGTATTTATCATATAATCTAATTAGAACTTAACTTCTTAAGTTTGATTTTGTATATGTATTGATGATTTAATAATTAAATGTACATAATGGAGAAAATACATATACATATAATCGATCTAATTAGATACATAATAAATAATTAAATGAAGAATTTTTTTTTAAATAGATTTTCATTTTTAAAGCTATTAAGTTAACCATATATATACACTTATATTTTTTTTATAATTTTTAAAAATTACAAATTAAATTATATTAACCTTGAATATAGATGATGATAAATATTTTTCGGTAGCATCTTTATTATCCATTTTTGCAATGATTAATGTGTTAAATAATGCCTTTTAGGGATATGATGTATTGATGATGATGTTTACATTTATTACAATTTTTTCTAATTTTTTCAAATTTTTTTGACCCTTATATATAGTGTTTTGGACGTACCGGCCGATACCGCGCTGCGACCGTTGTGTCTCAGTAGCCCCCGAGTCAAGGGCCAATACTGTGACCTTGAACCATGGTTGGTGTGTGTGTGTGAGTTTGAGAAAATAGAATAAAGATGGTGAAGACCCAAAAAGGCAATGAAGAGAGTTGCGAATGTTGAAGGAGAGAGATTGAACCCTGATTACGCCCAAAGAATAACGCGGTAATTGTAGCACAGTTTTGGGGTGTCAATTCCATAGAGAGACAAATTAAAAGAATAATAGAAAGAACAAAGAAACTAAAGAAAAATATTAAATGATTACTGAATAACAAGGATGAATTTTAAATGCAAATTCAAGTGAAGCAAAACGACTAAAAGAAAAAGTATTCAAATTTGACAAACAGTAAAGCGTCGGGAATCCCTTGCACAAATTTGGTATTTTAATTATTCTTAATGCATTAAATAACTCAATTGAGAGTTCAATTCCCAAAATTCTCAACTGGAAGGTATAGATTTATAATTCAAGATTAAACCACATGTTACCCTTTGAAAAATCATTCACCACTTTTAAAATAAGTAAATTATTATCACTATTGAGAAAATCCAACGATGACAATATACTCAAAAAAAAATATTGTAGTGAAAAATTAAATCAATATAGATAAATAATTGATCCAAACATAATCAAAGAACTAATCCATTCTATAGAAAAAGTATGACTGAATCTATAAACAGAATAAATTCTATGATTATTCAGAGAAGAAAACATCAACAATGAATTAAGAATGATAAAACAAAAGAGTTTAACTAATTAGAAATTAAATACATAAATTAAAAATAAATAAAATACCATCTACTGTGCAAGTTCATCCCTTGCCTTACCTTGGAAATTTAGTTACCCATAAATATAATGGACAACAAAAATCTCCCAAAAAAAAAAGAACAAATCGGCGATGATCGGCATTTTTCTGCTCTGAACAGCGTCCACCTCTCTTTGTCTTTTTCTTCTTTCAGCCGCCACACCCCAGAAAGAAAAACCAGCCACCACAAAGAATAAATAAATAGTTAAAAGTTAAAACCCTTCTTTTCTTTTCTCCCAGCCGTCAAAGCCCAAAGAAAATACAAGAAATTTCAAAAGTCTCCCCCTTTTCTTGAGAAAAGTCATTTTCATCCTCTTTTGATTCCAACATCCTTACTTCAGCCCCTAAAGCCCAAATCTTGTGTAATTTGATAAAGATGAAGCCCAATAAAAATTATTTGTTGGGCCCACTTGACAGCTGTATCAATTTCAGCCTTTTTATTCCATGGGCTGCCATAAAATAAATAAAAAAAACAAATATAAAAGCCCAATAATAAAGTCCCAAAAATGTTAAGTGTAAAATCCAATTGTAAATTATCTCTCGCCAACCAATAATACAATATTCAAGATTTAAAATATGATAAAATCATTCTCAAATATATCTCAGTGAATCAGTGTGAATAGATATTAAATTCAATAATATAAATTATATCTAATTATTTCTATTCACATTTTACATTTTAATCAAATAATTGGGTATTTAGAATGCACTTTCGCACACTCATCAAACCCAAAGAAATTGAATTCGATTTACACAATCAGAAGAAATCCATTTTGAAGGAAAATGAATGCCATCATCGAATTAAGATTAATCTATATGGATTTGCAGACGATGTCGAATTCAACTAATTTCGGATTTTTTTAAGATTCATTTTTGAATTCCGATTCAATTGTGATTTTCAATTTTGTATTGCTATTAGTGGCTATGTTTGAGTGTGTGCTAAGGTGTAGGTTTCTAGTAGCATTGCTAGTGGTTGACATATTGACTATTTGTATTCGTGTGAAGGTCAACCCCCCTTTAGTTGATGTTGCATGTTATCCTTCCCTTTTCTGCACTTCTATTCTTTACGAAGGTAAATTTGAGTGTTTTGTCTTTCCCTTCTTTCAAAGCGTGGGTCAAAATAAAGCTATGACAAGCTCCAATCCAACCTCGGAAAAAATGACACAATGAAAATATCTTAGATGCACATGAAAATATTAATCAACCGAAGTAGAGAAAAGAGAAGAAAAAGAGAAAAAAGGGAGAATCCATTAATCGGTCGTAAGAAGAAATTTAATAATAGTCCAACATAACAATAACTAGTTACAATAGACACCATAGATAAAACCCTACTACAAGAGAAAGACTAAAATACTCCTAATGGTAATTAAACGTAAATATAAATACAATCTTATCACCCTCTCTCAAACTCATTATGTAATAATATGAAGCATCGAGAGTTTGTCAAAGGGAAAACGAAAACACAATGTAGTGTGAGACTTGGTGAAAAAGTCCGCCAATTGCATAGTAGAAGAAACAAAGGGCAAGGAAATAGTCCCAAGCAGAAGATGGTGGCGCACAAAAGTAACAGTCGATTTCGATATGTTTAGTTTGCTCGTAGAAAACAGAATTGTGTGCAATTTGAACAACACTCTTATTATCATAATACATAGAAGTAGGAGTAGAAAAAGAAACTCCGAGATCAGCAAGTAACCATCTCAATCAAATTGTCTCTGACGTAGTAGTAGCTATAGCACAATATTCAGCCTCAACAGTGGATCGAGCACCAACAATTTGTTTCTAGCTCTTCTAAGAAATCAGGGAATCACTCAGAAAGATACATAAACTAGTTATGG